CCTGTAGCAGGCACAAAGGGAGGACTTGTCACATTATTTTAAAGACTATTTTAAAGGTGAAGCTGAGGTTAAGTCTTCTTATTATTATTCTTTTTCATGGATAATCTGATAATAAAATAAATAAATATATTTACTCTGTAATATTTTAATGCAAATAAAAATATAATAAATATAATACGTGTATGAAGAACTGATTTCTGATCAGACACTACAAAAATTAGCCATCTGAAAATAAGTTTAAAAAATACTAGATTAGACCATTGTTCTTTTCAAATTAATAATAATTAATAATCTGCAGTTTGACAGTTGCACTTGGTAAGCCTTCTTGAAGTAAAAAAAACTTGTCAGATTAACAAGATTAATAGTCCAACATATTCTGATCTTGTTTAGTGTACTGGTCTAAAAACAAGATCAAAAATACTTTTTAGCTGATATAAGACTGTAAAACCTGGTTAGAAGAACATTTTTCTGCAATAAAATGACTGTCTACTGTTCAAACACTAACAGATTAAATAAGCTTCACTTTAAACCTGGTCAGGACCAGGTTAGTTTCAGAGCACTTGTTACCACAGAAACATAAGTGCTTCATAGCTCATGCAACCGATTCAAGGCTTAATTCAGGTTTTAGGGTTTGGCATAATCGTATCATGTGCATTTAATCGTCAAAAAAACATTAATCGATTACTTTTTGGCACTTGACGATTAATACGATTAATGTCACCAGTCAAGAGTCCGCTCGCTGCTCCTCTCCATTTCAGATATGACGAACGTAAAAAAAGAAGTTCTGTAATTTATTTATCTATCAACACAATTTATAATTTGATCTATAGCCTGAAGTCTATAATTTTCACACAATTTGGAACAGACTTTTATGAAGAGCAAATCTTTCCAACTAAATTGGTCAAGTGACCAGGACATAAGGGTATCCAGGGACTCCAGGGGATTAATCGTCAAATTAATCGTTATCGGCTAAATACCATAATTAATCGCGATTAATTTGTTTTGCCAGTATTGCCCAACCCTATCAGGTTCACACCAAAATCCCAGGTTAACCCCTTATCCTAGTTTCATGCAATAGGCCTCTGGAGCTGCCAATGATGTCAACAAGAAACCTCCAAAGCTGTTCAACCAGAAAGTGCTCTTTAGCACTTTTGCAGGCTGAAATATTTTGTTTCTCTTTGATCTCAGTTTAGTTCCTGGTGCCTGCAGTTAAAATGCAGTGGGGCCCAAAAAAAAAAAACACTTGTGGGATCAGAGGCGTTCACAATATAAACAAACAATAATCATTTGATTTGTTTTTTCTCTGATTAAAGTACTCAGGAACAACAAATTAAAAATCTCCATTCAAAATCTCAGATGAGCAGAAGCGTATCCTTGGTTTAACTCGTGTGAAAACAGAAGTTTAGGTATGTTTAAGGGGTTCTGGAAAAATGAGGGACATCTCAAGCTGATCCCAAGTATCTAAAGTCATTGCTTGTTACACAAGGAGAGGATCAGTCGTAGTACAACACTTGATACTAACAGAAACTGATCTGAACATGAAAACGGCAATTCAACACGATAAGGCCAATAGTTCCACAAGGAAGGGAGAACATAGGAGGACTTAAAAACACTAGAAACTATTTAACAAAACACAGAAAACCAGAGAACAACAACAAACTGAGGACAGACACAAAACCTGGAGGAAAGGAAAACAAAATGAGGAAACAAATCCTTAAAAAAACCTCAAAGGTACAGCGCGTAAAACATGTATTGAACACGTCAACATTTTTCTCAGTAAATATATTACTAGAGGTGCTAATGACATGAAATTTTCACCAGATGTCGGTAACAACCCAAGTCATCCATACATACAAAGAAATCAAACCATAAATGTCCAGAAATGAAGTTATTTGTAATAATGTGGAATGGCAC